ATATATAATATATATATATATATATATCGTATGTAGATCATGGCATTTAACTTGCATTTGTTCTGTAGGACCGCTTCAGCGTGCGTGCATTGACGTGCGTACGGAGGCACTTCTCTGTTGAACCCGTCGAACATCCGTGCACATTAAGTGGAGCGAATGGACGTGTCTATCAATTTTGTTACAAGCGTGCTTGCACTTTTGTGACTTACTCTTTCTGGAATTGCGGCGGAGCACAAAGCCAAGAATTTAATTCCTGGGAGTTTTGGCTTTTTGCGTTTTTCTATTACATTGCGGTATGTGTGTTGCCAGGTGTTGGGCTCGGATGGTATTTTCGAGGTTTTATCTGACGATGAAGTCGTCAACCTCATTCTATCTCGCCTTCCTCCAACGCCGGCGGAGGTCAGAATCCATCGTTGGATTTGCAGCGCTTCCCTTTTTGCTGGTGGAGTAACTGCTGCGGCCGTCTTCGCCGCTAGTTCCGTTGTTGCCACAGCAGCTAGTGTGTCTCTCTGTTTCTTGATGCCGCAGGCTTCTCAGTTGGTAGTAGACGAGGCCGTTGCCCGGGGGGGCGAGGACGACAAAACCTGCACGGTTATTTACTTTCGTTGGAGGAAAGACCTCTTCCCCCCTGTCCAAGCGACAGAAGGAACAGCAGCACCAGCAGAACCAGGAACAGCAACCCAAAGCCACACAGCAAAAGGAGTTTCGACGCTGACGGAGGATAAACGGCATACACCGGGCACTACGACAGACACAGACAGCGACGGAGACAGTACGAGTGAGACAGACAACAAGCACCAAGGCAACACACGAACAAGCAGAAGCGAAGAAAAGCAGCAAGGTGTTTTCGGACGGCAGCAACACATTACAGAAAACTCCGCTCATGCAGAGAAGGAACAAGAAGCACGAGGAACTGGCAGTCCTTCCACGACGAACAGACGGCAGAAAGATGACTCCCCTATCAAGCCCGTATCCAACAGCAGCAGGGAGGAGTGTGATCCTGCAGGCGCCGAAGCATCAGGCGGATGGCAGCCAGGTTCCCCATGCAGTGCGGACTTGGGGCAAGAGGCGTCAGCAGAAGCAGCAGCAGCACTAGGAGGAGCAGCAGCAAAGGTTGAAGAGCCAGCAGGCAAACGCATCCGAACGAGCGGCTTAGAAGAAATTGCAGCCATAAGAAGCAACGTTGACGTGGAAGCCCTCATCCGCAAGCGCAAGCGGGAGCAGCAGATGGAAGCCGAAGCGGCAGCTGCAGCTGCTGCAGCCGCAGCTGCTGCTGCAGAGGAGCAGGTACACCGCATACAGTGCCTCCCGTTGTAGCTCCCCAGAGGCCGTTTACTGCGTCAAAGAAGCTAAAGGAAGAATGGAAGCAGACTACAGGCTACTTAATACAGCATTGCGTGCATATTGCATAAGTGAAATTAAGGGACAAGGAATGTAGGAGGCGGGCTTCATGCCACTTGGCTATGAAACCCGCCTCTGCTGTAATGTGCACGCATTGCTGTATTAAGTGTACGTACACAGAAGCCTGTTGTTCTCGTGTCTGTTTTCCCTCAGGATGACTTTGATATGTTTGGAGCAGCAGATTGATTTGAGATGCCGCGTAGAGGCATCTGGCCATGGCTTCCCTTACTCCGAAACAGAGGAGACCCGAGATTGCTGTAAGAGCAGCAGCTGCTGCTGTTACAGCGTTTGCTGCACCCAAATCCGCAGCAGTGGCACAAAGGGCGAAGTTACTCGGCTGTTGTTGCATAAAAGAGAGGCCAGGGGTACCAGGGGGATGATTCTGGATCATCAGCAGCCGCCGCTCCTCCCCATGCGGCATGGGAAAGTAGTTGCCCAGCACTGCGAGCTAGCTAGCTGGCTAAGCAGCAAGAAGGGCTAGCGCCTGTTAGGAGGACAGGTCGCTGATGTGGGGGTTAATGTGTGTCATGTTCCAATATGAATTACTTTCCTGGTTTTCATTGTCGCATTCCCACACAGGCAAATGTACGGCGTGTGAAGTGTGTAGTGATGCTTATACGCCTCAGCACAGCCATCCATGCAGAAGTGCGGCGAGTGTTGCTGCCTTATATTCTCTCCCCAGCGCTAAGCTAACATGTTGGCGGGAGGAGAGTTGAGGGAAATGGAAACCCGAGGGCAAAGACGTGTACGGGCCCACCCGGAGGCTACTTGCAGCCTCCACTTTTTCCATTTGCGTTGTTTGTACACTGGATAGAAACATTTTACAGCTTTGCCCTGTTTGAACAGGCAAAGTGGGGTAGATAACTGGTTGTAAACCTCTAATTGCGCGTCAGTAGATCGTCGCTTCGGGTGATGGATACATGGACGCGCCGTTCCAGCATGTAAAGTATGGGGGAATGATGCAAAATATACGGTTACACACTTAAATCCACTATCTGCCTTACTGTTCAATAGATATCACAGTGAACTCCTAGCTAGTGAAGACTGCATGCCAACTGCCTCGACGCCGAACGGTGCATGCTGCATTCAATACAAGCGGGTATATGTCGTCACACAGACTTGGTTAATTGATCCACTTCTCACAAAGTCTTATTGGGTTCATTTTTCCTCATTTTCTTCTTTTCTCAGCTTCCCCCCAGCGGCAAGTGGGAGGACAGCAGACGCCGTGGGTTGCTGGGGGAGCCATTCACCAATTCATATACAGATGAGGAAACAAGCAAAACAAATACTATGTGAAAATGTGAGCAACTCCTCGTAAATGCAACTGCAACAGCTACTGGCATGCTTTTGCGTATTCATTGCACCAAGCACCAGCAGCTCCTGCTGCGTGTGTGCTCTTCCCGCCCCGCCGTCGTTCTGGTTACTGTTGTTGTTGCTACTGCAGATCCCGTTGTTTTATTGGTTTGAGGCTGTGTCTACTGCATATATATGGTTTTATAATAAAACAATTGCAAACATTTCTGGTATTTCTACTTGAGTCTTATATAGGCATTTCGATTTCATAGCGTGCGAGTACAGCTGCAGCTGCAGCCGCAGGCGCAGCAGCAGCAGCAGCAGCAGCAGCTGCTGCTGCTGCTGCTGCTGCTGCTGCGGAGGCGCCAGCATCTACTTGTGGTGGCGCCTTCTGGGGGCTGTATTGGGGCGTGCATTTGCCTTCTTGTTTGAAGAGCAGTCTGTTGGGAGTTATTAAACCGATGCTGCTGCAGGCCTAGGTGGGGTGAAGGTGTTCGAAGCAAACTAAAGATGAAGCCCCAAAAGTATTACACTGTGGGGGTCAGCAACAAGTTTGCGGCGTTCGGCGCGGACAGCGACGCTTCTTCAGATGAAGGAGAAGTAATTCTTGCTGCTCCTCCTCCACCTACAGAGCAGCAGCAGCAGCAGGGCACCGTAGCTGCTGCGAAGAAAAAAACACCGCAGCAGCAGCAGCAGCAGACTTCCCCACAACGTGAGAGACAAGGCAGGCCTTTCCGCGGAAGTAGGTCATTTGGATTTCTTCTGGTTTTCCCTTTATAAACACATCTGGCAGATACACCTATACGCACACGAGACTTCATATCACAGTCCCCTCATTGACCTTCCCTGCCCCTCGCCGGTGATGATGCCGCGCTGGAGTTCGTCCTTGTTTTGCTATTCCTTCACTTTCGTTGCACGCGAGTGGTGTTTTTGCATGCATTCATATAATTTTTCCACTTACTGCAGTTGGTGGCTTCCGCTCCTGCTTCAGCGCCCACTGTGATTGCTGCTGTCAACACCCCGCAGCAGCCCTTGGGTTGTCTTGGGGTTGGTTGTTCCTGTATTTTCTCTCATTGACCATTGGCGACCTCGTTACTGTTTATTCTTCGTTGTGATGGAAGGAGGGCGTGCAGTGGTCTCACTCGTCCCGTTTGTTGCTGCTGTTTCTTGTGTGTGTGCAGGGGGAGGTTTTGGGGGGGAGAGTCGTGGCGGGGGTTTCAGGGGCTACCGGCAGCGGTCGCTGCCTGACGGTGGCGATGAGTTGATAACACCGCAGGAGGGAGAAGGCCCAGTGCAGAGGCGCCGTGGGGGCGGCGGAGGGTTCAGGGGACGGGCCCGTGGGGCAGCAGGGGCCCCTGGGGGCCCCCCGATGCAGCGGCGGGAGTTCGACCGCCATAG